GAACCCAATATATTTATAAATCATATTTTTCAATTTACATCATTTTTGTAATTTATGTTATTATGATCGAAGATAATTTCATAATAAAAGAGAAATTAAAATTAAATATCTATAAATAAATAAATATTTGATGAATTAATATTTTACTTTTATTTTTTTAAAAAAATATTTAAAAAAAATTAGCGAGCAACCGACCTAAATAAAGTTAGATTTATTATTTAATAAGAGTTATTTAAGTTTTCTCTCAACTTGACCTGATGCAAGTCACAAACACCCCTAATCTAAAATAGAGTTTTAAAATCATAGACAAAATTAAATTGAAATAGGTCTGATATTTGTAACAGCTTTAGTCTACCGCTAGTAAATATTGTCTGTTTTGGCTTTGATTTGTTACGTATCGTCGTTAGCCTCACAGTTTTGTAACGGGTATACTAAGGAGAGATTTCTACACTCTTATAACAAATGTTTCATTCCTTCTCAAACTAATGTGAGATTTTAAAATTCATTCACCTTCGAGGCCCAACGTTCTTACTAGCGCATCGCTTGGTGTTTGACTTTGATACCGTTACAAAAGCCCAAAACTAACGGATATTGTCTGCTTTAGTCCATTACGTATCATTGTCAACCATGCACGTTTTACAGTGAAATAGATGTGCAATTGGCTCTATAGTGCCTATTTTTAATTGAGAATTTTCCTTTAATACCTCCTTAATATCTCCCATTGATGTGGAACCCCTACCAAATATCATAATTCACTCCCTTTTAGAGCACAACGTCCTCACTAACCCTCATTCTTTCTCCAATTGATGTGACCCCTACCAAATCTACCTCTTTGAGACTCAGCATCCTTATTGGTACATTGCCTCGTGTCTACCCCCTTCGAGGAAGGGCCTCCTCCTTTGGACTTTCCCTTTCGAGCTTCCCCTCAAGACTTTCAAACACTAGGAAAAAGTTTCCACACCCTTTAAGGTTATTTCATTCTATTCTCCAACCAACGTGGAATATCACAATTGTGATGTGAAAGATTTGAACTTATGACCTTTAAGAAGAAGAAATATTTATTACTCATTGAGGTATGTCGACACCATATTTGATCTTGATTTTCTAATTTTAAGAAAAATAAAGGTATAATAAGATAATTAAAATGAGGTTAAATTAATAAAAATACTTTTTAAATTTTAAATTTTGTCCTTTGTCTAAAAAAAAATACATCTAAATTTTTAAAGGTTTCAATCATACCTTTAAACTTTTTAAAAAATCTAAAAAAATACCCTTCAATTAAAAAAAGTTCAAAAAAAAACTTTGTTTCAAAAATATGTTTACAGTTATCAGTCATTAATAATTTATTTCAAAAATATCCTTTTTAACCTTTTAAATAAAAATAAATAAAAAACAAATAACGGTAAAAAAATACTTATGAACTTTAAAAAAGTAACGGTAAAAAAATTGAAGATAATTAAACAGTAAAAAAAAATTGAACTTTTTTTTCTTTTATAATTGTAAAGTATTAATGATATTTTTAAAATTTTATAGATATTTTTTATATACATTCCTAACGATAAAGATACGTTTAAAAAAATAGTTGAAGGAAATTAATAAAACTTATTAAAATTTAAGAATTATTTAAAGTTACGATTTTCATCGAAAACTAACCTAATTTAATTAATTAATACTTATATCATTGATCTAGAGGTCAGAAGGTTTGATTTGTATCTATTCTTTTCTAGGGTTCTCTAGTTTTCTATCTGTATAGTCGGCCTAATTTTTAAATAGTTTAGAGAAAAAATAAAATTGAATAATATAGTAGCGGAAGGTAGGTTACATCATGACTATGCTAACTTAAAACGCTTTGAAGGGTCATTTGGTGTAAACGTCAAAAACAAATGCTTGCTAAAGTTTGTCGACGTTACACCTAACTTAGGTCAATTAATGTTATTACATTGATATGATAGGCCGATTAAATTAAGGCTAAATTAATTAAAAATGTCCATAAATTTTATGCATAAACTTAAAAAGTTTAAATAATATCTTTAAATTTTCAAAAAAAAAAAAAAAAAAAAAAGAATTCTCGAAAATACTCATGAAATGTTGAAAGCGATATTAATTCTCTCAACTATTATAAAAAAAAGTTCAAAAAAATTCGATAAATATATGAATGAAAACGGTCTATCTACTTATTATAAATTATTTTCGATGATATTAATTATATGAGTATTTTTTTTAACTTTAAAAAAAAAAAAAGTTAAAAAGTGTTTTTGAAATTAAAAAAAAAAGGTGGATTAGTGAAATTTTTGAAAAATTGAAATTTAAAGGTATTTTAAGACCAAATATTAACTTTCTATTTAAAACTAACAGTAATATATATATAAATATATATTTTATGTTTTAAGGGTATTATTGAAATTTTTGAAAGTTTAAAAGTTTAGACGTAAAAGTTGGAATGTATTTTTATTAATTTATTTTTAAACTAAATCTATTTCTTATGAGTATATATATATATATATATGATATTAGTGAGAGTAAAATTGGTCAAGCTTGCTCGTTAGCCATTACTAACATTAAAGGACGAGTTTGTCTGTATATGTGGGTATATTTATTATTTTCTACCCACTACCATTAAATTTCAAAATATATATTTTTAGTTATAATACAATTATATGTCTATATATTATTTTTAATTAATTTCATAATTACTTTTTTATTAATTAGCCATTTTTAAAACAAATTTAAATAAATAATCTAATTTGGGTTCATAAGAGTAATTTAGAATAAAAAAAAACTTACAAAACAATTGAATTAAATTTAAAAAATGTATAAATTCGACCCAGCTCAACTCAACCCACAAAAATCGACCTAAAAGACTAATTATGAATAGGCTTTCATTTTCGTTACTTTTCCTTCCGTTGAGTTTCCAATAATAATATCATTCAAACTTCTCCTCTTTTAAGTAATTGATTGACTTCAAAACAAAGCAAACCTCTGAATCACTCCTCCAACCTCTCATATTTTATGATTTTTGGAGATTTAGAATCTGAATTTGACATCTAATGATTCTGCATTCTAGTATGACATGATAATGCTACCTACTCATTCTTAAGAGTGAATACTATCTTCATAGAAAAAATTCTAGGAGGTCATCCAACATAAAATTGATTCAGCCCGCGATAGAAAAATTAATTAATTGAACGCTTCAGTGTAGATCTATAGTTGATCTCTTATGTACTACAAGAGACGTTGTGTCCATGGATATAACAATCTTAGTCAAATTTGTTTTATTCTTGTAATTATATCTTATACCTCCTCCATTTCACATAAATAATTTAGATCAAATCATTTCTAACATAACAATTATGAAGTTGATTGTATCAATAATGTTCTTAGTTTTACATACCTATAATAGATTCTTTAGATTGTTACTTGAACTTTCTCTGATCAAATATTGTTTAAGATTATACTAATAATTATAAATTTTTTATATCATAGATAATGTAAAATTATAAATAAAATTATCAAAATAAATAATTAATTACAAGGCTTTAGACCATAAATCTCTACTATCCATAGTAATTTGTAAGAATGTGGGCGGTGGAGATGGACAAGCCTTCCTTATCCCCATTCTTCCACCCTGGATCGCATGGAATTTTTTCCTATTTATTATTATTTTTTTAAAAATAGTTATTTTAAAATTTTTGTAATTTTTAATAAATCAATATATTTCAAAAGAAAAAATATATATAATTTATATTTATATGTTCTATCAATTTTAAATTTTAATATTACTGTTAACAATTAAAAAAAATCTACCACCTAATTTTCAGTTTAAATATTACAATAAAAGTCTAATAACACTAACTAATTAATATGCGTAAAGATGGAGAATATGATCTCGTTTATGACCCTATTTATTTAATAGAAAAAAAGGTTTTCTACTCTCTCTCTCACATTCTTCGTCTAAATAAAAATTTTCTATAGATAAAATAGACATTTCAAAGATTTACGGATAAAATAGTCATTTCTAATAATTTATTTTTTTGGTACAAAAAATCATGAGCTCCTACACGGAGTTTAAAAACACTACAATCCAATTGATCTAAATTTGGTGGTCTAAATTTGTTATATAAATTAATGTATTACGTATGATTTTATGGAATTAGTAAGGTAAGATTAACCAAATTAAAGTTTATTTTAATAATATACTTTTAAAAAATATATATATTTACTCTAAAAAAAATATTTTTAGATGTTATAATATATCTATTTCTATACTATATTTTATTTTATTCTCAATATTTAATTAGTTTATATTTTTCTTATTTGGAGGTACTTTCCATCCCAATTCTATTTCTCAATTTTAACAAATTCATTTCATATATTTTAATTCATAGGTTAGATATAATACTATATATTTTATCAATAAAAAAATTCAATATATATATTTTTTTTATAATAAAATCTTCTATGCGAATATTCAAATTCAAATTGCTAAGTCTCATGTTATTTAAAAGTATATATCTATTTTTTCAAATATTACCCTTATATTCTCAAAAAAAGTCTTTAAAATATGCATAAATTTTATACAAAAGTTAAAAAAAATACGAAAATATTTTGATTTTTCTAAAATATTTCAAAAAAACTTTCAAAAATTTTATTAATGCATTTAATTGTTTTTTAAGTATAAATTGTATTGATATATAAGGTTGGTTCATATACTTATTGTAAAATTATTTTAATTTTTTTTAAAGGAGTTTAACGATATTTTAAAAATAAAGTCCACCATTTTTTAATTAAAAAAAAACTAATTGTTTTTAGAAAATATAACGTTGAAGATAAAAACAGGTTAATTAATGGTGGAGAGATGAGGGTAAGTCAAAGAAAGCATTAAGAAGGATCAGAAACGGAGATTTGGGAAATAGAAAGTAACATAAAAAGGAGAAATTTGGTGCAATTTTATTTCGTAGCTATATAATGCTATTCCCCCATTGATGAAATCAACCAAATCTCCTGCCTCCATTCTCAAGGAGAGTTAGAGAGAGAAAGAGGAGTGAGACAGCCATGGCTGCCTGAAAGGGAAACAAAGGAAATTAGAAATAGAAACTTTTTTTTTTCTTTTTTTTCTTTTTTTTCTTTTTTGTTGTTATCGTTTTAAAATGGGTTCTAGTTCGTTTCTCAACTGTACACTCCAAATCCCTCCATTTTTGTTATAAACCCAAATTCTGTTGATTCTAATCCTGTTACAGTACGGATCAAGAAACACCCAACTCCAAATTCAACTCGATTTTTCCGTTTCTGCACAAAACCCTCCCATGTTTTCGTCAATTTCTTTGTGGGTGATTCGATTTTGAAGGCGAAATGAAGAAATTAAGAACTTATTATATGCATTTGAGAAACCCACCGAACATGGAGCGGCGATGGATCTTCCCATTAGCAATCGGTTCGATGGTTTCTCTGTTTCTTCTGTTTCTTTCTATGGTGACTTCTCCCGGTGGAACCCCTCTGTTTCCGTTTTACAAATCGGTGGCTGTTTCGGGTTCGTTCTTCGTTGAATCGAAGCTTCATCCGGTTCCGATTTCATCGCTCCCTCCGCCGCCGCGATTTGCGTACCTAATTTCGGGTTCAATCAGAGAGGGGAATATGTTGAAACGGACGCTTGAAGCTTTGTACCATCCGATTAATCGGTATGTTTTGCATTTGGACCTCGAATCGCCGCCGGAGGAGCGGCTGGATCTGCAAAGTTACGTGCAGACCCATCCGATTTTTCAGAAATTTGGGAATGTGCAGGTTATTGCTAAGGCTAATCTTGTTACCTATCGAGGGCCAACTATGGTGGCTAATACATTACACGCGGCAGCGATTTTACTCCGAGAAGGCGGCGATTGGGATTGGTTTATTAACCTCAGCGCTTCGGATTATCCTCTTGTTACTCAAGATGGTGGGTTGATTTTTTGAGTTGAAATCTCCTTTTTCTTCACGTTTTGCTTATGAATTGATGAATTTGATCGATGGGTTTTGGATTTATTTTCTCTGTTCTGTTTTAGATCTGCTGCATACTTTTTCTCAATTGCGTCGTGATCTCAATTTCATTGATCATACTAGTAATATTGGATGGAAAGAGTAAGTGACACCTGTTTGTTCTTGGTTTTTGTGCGTTTTTGTTGATTGTTTTGGCTGGTTTTTTGTGTGTTCTTGCTGAAGTTGAGCGTTGATATTTGTAGGAGTCAGAGAGCTAAGCCAGTGATTATTGATCCGGGGTTGTATATGTCGAAGAAGGCTGATGTGTTTTGGATTACACAGAGAAGAAGTGTGCCTACAGCCTTCAAACTCTTTACAGGTAAGCCCTTAAATCCATTTCAGGACATGATTTAAGACAACTTTTCTGTTTCTTAGAACAAAAATTTGGGGATTACATGTTTGAATAACCATTGTTGAGCTGGTAGAGCATTGCTTAGGTTGTCTTCTTTTAATCTGTTCATATAAATAACACATAAATGAAGTTGTTTTTTCTCTTGATGTTTGTACCTGTGAGATCTCACATCAGTTGGAGAGGTTGGAGAGCGGAACGAAACATTCTTTATAAGGGTGTGGAAACATCTTTCTAATAGACGTGTTCTAAACATTGTGAGGTTGACGGTAGTATGCAATGGGACAAAGCAGACAATATTTTCTAGGGGTGGACTTAGATTGTTACAAATGGTATCAGAGCTAGATAATGGATGGTGTGCCAACGAGGACGTTGGGTCCCCAAAGGGGGTGGATTGTGAGATCCCACGTTGGAGAGGGGACCGAAACATTCTTTATAAGGGTGTGGAAACCTTTTCTTAGTAGATGTGTTTTAAAAACTATGAGGCTGACGGCTATATGTAACGGGTCAAAGCGGATAATGTCTGCTAGCGGTTGACTTGGGCTGTTACAAATGGTATCAGAGCCAGACACCGGATGGTGTGCCAGCTAGGATGTTGGGCCCCCAAAGGGGTGGATTTGAGATCCCATGTCATTTTGATAGAGGACCGAAACATTCTTTATAAGGGTGTGGAAACCTCTCCTTAGTAGACTCATTTTAAAAACCATGAGGCTGACGACTATATGTAACGGGCCAAAGCGGATAATATCTGCTAACGGTGGATTTTGGCTGTTACAAATGGTATTAGAGCCAAACATTGGATGGTGTGCCAACGAGGATGTTGGGTCCCAAAAGGGATGGATTGTGAGATCTTACATCGAATGGAGAGGCGACCGAAACATTCCTTATAAGGGTGTGGAAACCTCTCCTTAGTAGACACGTTTTAAAAACTGTGAGACTGACGACGATACGTAACGAACCAAAGTGAACAATATTTGCTAACGGTGGACTTGAGCTATTACAGTATCATAGAAACGCAAAGGTAAATGTAAAACTAATGAGGCTTTAGTTTTATTGTGATCCTGTCTATTGTCTTATCCATATAGTTCTGATAATGATTTGTTCCGAGCTAATCGCCTTCTAGAGTCTTCGACAACTTATCTTATATCATTCAGCTCATATTGTTACATGATCTTTATTAGCGTCTGTTGCTTTCTGGGTTCTTGGATAATCATAACAGGTGATCTTGGTATCAATTATACGACTGAATCGTTCATACTACCTTCGTTTCGTAATAAACAGAGCTGAAGAACAGGAAAATGGCATAAGTTTTTGGATGATTTGATCATTAAGTTACTAAGTTGAATCACTTGGTGGAAACAATTTCTCATGTTCTTTGGTGCTTATAAGTTAGGGTGGTAAAATTCAAGTATTTTCTTAGAAGATGAATTGGTGATGGGGAAACGTTCGTGTAGGTAATCTTGAGAATATGAAGTTATTTCGTGCACGAAGAGTAGGTTTAGAAAGATAGAACCCGAGCGTATAGTATCGAATGAGAAGAAAACAATGCAAAGGATGTATATTTGAATTATTTGTGTTTGAAGGGTATTCTTTTGCTGAGCTCGTGTGTCGTATCTCAGGTTCGGCTTGGATGGCGCTTTCTCGACCTTTTATCGACTACTGCATATGGGGGTGGGAAAACCTACCTCGGGTTGCCCTAATGTATTATGCAAACTTCATATCCTCTCCGGAAGGGTACTTCCACACCGTCATTTGCAACGCTCAACAGTTCCAAAACACAACAGTGAACAGTGACCTCCATTTCATATCATGGGACAATCCTCCCAAACAACATCCTCACCATCTCAATCTCAATGACTTGCAAAAGATGATAGATAGCAATGCTCCATTTGCCAGAAAGTTCGTTGGAGAAGATCCCGTGCTCGATGAAATCGACAAACAACTTCTAAACAAACACCCCAATATGGTGGTTTCTGGTGGTTGGTGCATTGGAAGCCATGAAAACGGGACCGATCCATGCTCGATCACCGGCAGTATCAATGTATTGAAACCTGGTCCGGGAGCAAAACGACTCGAAACCCTGATCAACTCGCTGTTATCGGAAGAGAATTTTGAAGCTAGACAGTGCAAATAAAGGTAAAATTCATCCCAGATGGTAAAATTCAAATCATGGAGTCATTGGTGGAAAAGTCATATAAATGGGTGACTAAAACTTTTAGTGCAAAACTCTGTCAGAATCTTTGTAAGGTCGAATATAGTTTTGTTTTGTTTCTTTTAAGCTTTTTTACTAAGTTACTCATTAGCTTAGTCTTCTAAGTTTGATACCATAGGTTATAGACCATTTTCGTCTATTTTAAAATATATTCTTTTTTTATTCTTATATTTTTAACTTTTGTTTTTCGAGTATTTTCAAAATGTCTGATTTGGTCCCTACCTTTTACAAAAGGACCATTTTGGTCAATGTTTGAAAATTTTTAATGAAAATTTGGTACTATTAACTGTTATGACAAAAGGATCAAATTGTGATAGAGATCATAATGAACCGTATTAAAGTAAAAGGATAAAAATAAAAATGAATCGAAGCGTAAATTACAAGGATTAACATATTCTTGATGATAATGTATAGTCAATAGGTAGATGAAAGGAACCCGTTTAGAAAATTTAAAATTTTTGAGAGTTTAGAGATTAGACTAAGAAAAAATGGTTGTATCATTTTCAGGTGTTAAAGAGTTTTAATGATAAGGTTTGAATTCAAGATAGTTTTGAGGAAGAATCTAAATATAGATGGGAATGGGGAGTTGATTGATATTTGATATGCAATTATGGAGTTTATAAGGAGTTTGAGGTGGCAATGATTGGTGCAAGGGAAATAGTTGTGTCCTAGTTTTTGATGCACAGCGACGTTTGACAAAGCTTTGGTAGTGATGGTGTCCCCGCAAAGACGATGATATTAGGGATATCTAGTTTCAAATATGAGGCTTCTTTGTTCTTTGGGTGCAGATTCACGATGTTCCAATCAACTGAATGTTCATTAGGATCACAAATATTGTAGAACATACCATTTTCAATTACAAGAGAGGGACGAATTTGGAGGCTCACCTCCCTATGATTCAAGTGGGGGAATAAGTTATATTGGCTGTTGGCGATACCGGTAGATTGGGATAACTTCACTATCTCGGAAACAAACGTGGATCTTAAGAATGATTTTGTGAGATCCCACCTTGGTTCAAGAGGGGAACGAAACATTTTTTATGAGGGTATGAAAATCTCTCCGTAGCAGACGTATTTTAAAATTTTTGAAAGAAAGCCCAAAAGAAAAAGCTGAAAAATGACAATATTTGCTTGCGATGAGCTTGGGCTATTACAAATGATATCAGAGCCAGACATTAGGCAGTGTGCCAACGAGAACGTTCAGCTCCAAAGGGGGTGGACACCGAACGGTGTGCCAACGAGGACGCTAGGCTTTGAAAGAGGTGAACATCTGGAGCGAGAACATTGGGCACCAAAAAAGGGTGGATTGTGAGATTCCACATTGATTGAAGAGAGGAACGAGTGTTAGTGACAAAGCTGGACCTCGTAAGGGGTGGATTGTGAGCTATTACAGATTTGATTCTGGGTTATCGCATGGAACACATGGATGTTTAGTTATCCACATAAGGTAATAAGCAACAATTAAATCCGATCCATTAATAAATTGGCTCATAATCTAGCTCGGCAAGTTTTGTCTAAACGACGAGAGCTCTATATAGACATCTCAACTTTCAAATTGGTTTGTTGATGTTTGTCGAGAAGATATCCAACTTATTGATACTCAACGAAGATAAGGTTATGGTGAGCCTTCTCGCAAATGGAGAAGATCGAGCGGAGATGAACATGTGGCTACTATACAATGAAGCAAGCAACCACATGACCGAAGATAAAGCAAAGTCTGAGGAGCTTGATGAAAAACTCATTGAAAATGTGAAGTTTGGCAACGGATCAATTGTACCAATCCAAAGCAAAGAATCCACCTTGTTCTAGTGCAAGAATGACAACCAATGTCCTGACCAAGGTATATTATAACCTAAGTTTAAAGAGTAATATTACCAGCCTTGGTAAGATGACGGAAGAAGGAAACAGAATATAGTTAGAAACAGAATATAGTTAGTTGGCTCATTCCTCAAGATGTTCGATAGAAATGGAATTTTGTTAATGAAGGTAAAACGGTAATATGATTGCTGGTACAAATACTATTGGCGACAAGCCAACCCGCCTATCCATTGACAGTACTCGCAGACACAACTAGTGGCTATGACATTCAAGATTTGGGCATGTGAACTTTCAAACACTCAAAATGATGGGAGAAAAAAAGACGGCTATGGGACTACCCAAAATGATACAACCGAACCAACTATGTGAAAGTTGTCTAGTCTCCAAACAAGAAAGATTATTGTTCACAGCTTAAACCAATTTCTATGCTAAATGACTACGGCAACTGATTCATGAAGATTTATGTGGCCTGATCACTTCATCGTCGATTGCTAGCAACAAGTATTTTTTCTTACTTTTTGACGAATATATCTATTGGATGTGAGTGTACATGCTCAAAGAAAAAAGAGAGACATTATATTCGTTTAAGAAGTTCAAAAGACTCGTTGAAAACCAGTCTAATCAGAAGCTAAACACCATGTGTACCGACCAAGGTGACAAATTATCTCAAAACTTCTCAAAGTTTAGCAAAGGGGAAGTTATCATGTGTCAACTCACTGCATCGTACACTCCACTACAAAATAGTGTGGTCGAGCAAAGAAATCACACCATAATGAACACTACAAGAATCTTACTCAAGAGCATGAAGTCCTAGTGATCTTTTGGAGCAAGGAAATACGACATGTGGTTTATCTTCTAAATTTTTTTATCAATAAAGTCGTTGGACACTCACACCACCTAGGAAACATGGTTTATCTAAGAGTATTCAGTTGTACAACACATGTTAAGGCTGCAAAGCCATATATCAAAAAACTTGATGACAGAAGCAAAGGATTGTGTACTTTGGCACAGAGGATAGGACTATGACACATAAGCTATTGATCTGCAACATGAGATAAGTAGAGATGTATTCAAAGAAGAGAAAAGTGGGATACTCAGTGTCGGTGATAACAAACAAATTATTGAAGAGTTCACTACTCTAAAAGAAGAGGGAGATGCGACAGATCTAGAAAGTGCACCGACGTCGACACCAGCAAATCCACACATGTCATCATTGGTAACACCGAAAAGAACAAGAGAGCTCAATCGACGTCGACACCAGCAGAGCACAGGAGAATCCACAATAGATGGCGGACCAAAGAAGTTTTGTTCTCTCTCTAAAATTTATGCAAATGCATTTAAAGAAGAAATAGATCCCGACGAGCTAGTGTTTCTCATCGCCGAGAAGATGACAACTTATCATGAGGCAACAATTGAGACGTCTTGGCTGGAGGTCATGCAAAATGAGGTTGAAGCAATTGAGAAAAATAAGACGTGGGCACTCATTAACTTACCGCCCGGTTACAAGCCCATCAATTTGAATTAGGTATTTAAATTTAAAAAGAATAGTGAAGAGAATATCATCATACATAATGAAAGCATCGTGGCAAAGAGACACGTGAGGCGAAAATGAGTTAATTTTGAGAAGGTCTTCTTGACGGTGGCCAGACTAGACATTTTAAGGTTGAGTTTTGCCCTTGCAGATCAACACGGTAGGAGGCCCATCACATGGATGTCAAACCAACGCTCCTAAATGGTGACCTCCAAGAAGTATACGTTATCCAACCTGAATACTTCGTCATCAAAATCGAAGAGCAAAAAATGTACAAAAGGTCGAAGGCTCTTTACTATTTACGATAAGCACCAAGGGCATGGAACGTAAAGCTGGACAAGAGCTTGAAGAGTCTAAAGTTCATCAAGTACTCGCAAGAACAAGCAATGTATACAAGAAACAATGGAGTTGAAATACTCATAATTGACGTGTATATTGACGACTTGGTCATCACTAGTACAAGTCTAGAAGGCCTTAAAGAGTTCAAAATGAAAGAATTTGAGATGATTGGCCTCGGATTACTTGCGTACTACCTAGGTATTGAGGTGGACCAAAAGAAAGACTACATCATGCTAAAAAAGTAGCCAACTTATGCTAAAATGGTGATGCAGCAATTTAAGATGACAAAGTGCAACTCGACCAAGTACCCCATGGAAGCAAAGTTCCAACCCGGGAAAGACGTTGAAGGAAACTTGGTGAATCCCACCAAGTATAGGCGCATCATTGGAAGTCTGAGGTACTTGACTCACACTTGTTCATATCTTTCATATGTTGTTAGAATGGTAAGTAGGTACATGGAGAAGCTTACAATGATACATCATCAAACGATCAAAGCATATTCTCCACTTTGTGAAGGGAACCACAAGCTATGGACAAATATCAAAAATGTCGAGAACCTGATGAACTTGTCAATTTTACTGATAGTGATCTAGCCAGAGACATCAATGATAGAAAAAGCACCGTAGGAATACATTTTATCTCAACGGAAATCTGATCTCTTGGTAATCTCAGAAGAAGCAAACTGTATTGATGTCTAAATAAAGTAAAACCACAACCTTTTATCTAACAATCTACTCCAATATATGTACCTTATTATTTGAACTCCGATCTTTGAGCACAGTTCCTCAAATTTTACCTGCGCTAGAGGCTTGGTGAAAATGTCTCCAAGTTGTTCCTCTGTTCGGATGAAGTCAATCTTGATAAACCTCCGATCTGTATACTCCCGAATGTAATAGAACCTGATCTCTATGTGCTTGCTCTGGTCGTGCAGAACTGGATTTTTTATCAGGGAGATCATAGCTTTGTTGTTCACGTAAAGCATTGATGGATCGCCTTCTCTTCCGATGAGTTCTTCCATCAGTCGCGCAAGCTAGACCCCCTATGTGACTTTCGTGGACGCGGCTATGTACTCTGCTTCGCTAGAAAACAAAGCAACTACCTTTTGTTTAATTGATTACCAGCAGATCGCGCCGCCTGAGAGGAAGTAAATCATCCCACTGGTGCTCTTACAATCATCAACGTCATCGGCCATGTCACTATCATGTAGCCTACCAGCTCAAGCTTCTCCTTTCCTCTTCCTGCACAGTATCTCACACCCCAGCCTCTGGTTCTAGCCACATAGTACATAATGCACTTGACAACCACAAGATGCTCCTCCCTAGGTGCTTCCATAGATCTACTCATGTATCCAACAGAACAAGCGAGGTTAGGGCGTGTGTTTACCAAATAGCACAAGCTCT